AGGCAGTGGGTGCTCTGCAGGCATCACCTGGTAACCGCTGCTTTCTCACCCACCTGCTAAAATGCAGCTTCTTGACTGTGGAGAAAGCAAAGCCTTTATTTCCCACCCAGCCCCCAAAAGCTAGAGAATACTGATTTTTTTTTTTTTTTTTTTGCTGGGGAGCAGGTTTGTGTTTGTAAAAACTCCTGATACAGTGCTTTAAATCATATACTGAAATGAGGTTTTGGATGCCCTATTAAGGAAGATTTAAAACTATCAATATTAAATGCATATAAATATGTCAAAGGCTTTTGCTAAGAAGTTGGTGTCAGACTCTTTGTGTGCCCAGCAACATGACAAGGAGCAAAGGCCAAAAACTAAAACACAAATTTCACCTGAACACGAAGAAGGGCTTGTTTAGATTGAGGGTGGTGGAGCACAGGAACAGGCTGGCCATGGAGGTTGTGGAGTCTCTGGAGAGAGGGAGACCCCACTTGTGTGTGTTCCTATGTTACCTGTTTGAGGTGACCCTGCCTTGGGGCTACATGGTCTCCAGAGGCCCCTTCCAACACAGTTCTGTGATTCCGTGAAAGGCATGGGATCTTCTTGCTCCCTGGAACTGTTTAACAAATAGGGATTTATAAATATGTATAAGTAATATATGTAAAAGCAATGTATAAAATTTTAGGAAGCATCTAGTGCCTCAGTAATGGAAATGTGATTGTAATTAGGTCCTTTCTGACTTCTGAAGTCTGTGAAGTACTATAATAATTGCCATTGCAAAGTGCCTTTGCTGTTGAGGCACCTTGGAAACTTGCCATTGCATTTTGCCATAAGTGGTATGGTCAGCAGAGAGTTGCTGAGATGGGATGTGGAGAATACCAGCTGCACTAAATTCCTAGGCTTAATATGAAGTATAATGAACAACTTATGGTATTTCTTTTTAGAAAAATACAAAACCTACTTCTCAATTCCAGTTAGGGTGGAGGAGGAAGGAGTTGGCAGATTGGCACTTTCTTGCACGGGTATGAAGTGAACTAATGGCATTTGTAATTGACTGCTATCAATTAATTCATTGATGTATTCTAATTTTGGTTCGGTTTGTGATAATAGAATGCCAGATACAGGATAGATTTATTGTCACTTTAAACCATGGTGAGGTTGTATGGTAGAACAAGAAGCTTGCTTTTTTTTGTATGGGGTTTTCTTTCTAGTTCCTTACATGGTCATATTCAATTGTTGCAGATACTTCATTCGAGCCTTCTGTTGCACTGGCAAGTCTTGTGCAGCACATACCATTGCAGATGATTACAGTACTCATCAGGAGCCTTACTACAGACCCTAACGTGAAAGATACAAGTATGACTCAAGCTCTGTGCAGGTAATCTATTTAATTGTCAAGGGAGAGAAAGTCTCTTTTTTTAATCTTGCCTTTCTTGAAGCTGTTACTGAAGTTCCGGTAAAAAAAAAACAACAAAACAAAAGTGTGAAGAAGAGGAACTTTTGAAATGGTATTCTAAGTCCCATGGTTTCAGTTTAAGGTTGCTGCCTTTATTGCTATTGTGGCTTCATTCTCCAGCCCAGCTGGGGTGGATGAAGAGGGTTAAATAGAAACTGAGAGGAAACACCTGTGTTCTTCTTAAATGACATCTTAAGTGAGGTCTTCTGCCTTATGGAAGATGGTGTAAGTAGGAAACTGCTTAGGATTTACAGTCAAGCTGAGAAACAAGGCCTTGTTTTCAGAAGATGAACCTTTCTGCTTTTCCAAGAAGCAGGATAGCATTCTCGTGTGATATTAACCATCAGCTCCTGCTCAGAAGAAAGGAGCCAGATCTAAATGAGTTTTACTGCTTAGCTTTGAGGGATTTTTTTCTGCTTAGATGTTTTAATATTTTTTGGAAGGATTCACAGAGAGCAGCTTCTATTACTCTTTTCACTCAAACCTTCATAGGTTTTTTGGGCGTTCTTTGAATGACAGAGAAATAGAAATTATGTAAAAGCAATTGCATATTATGTTTGTCACTAATCTAACCTCAAGCAAGTGTGGTGTAGATGAGTAGCAGTGTAAACAGACTGGGATTCAGATTGCAATAGTGACTGGTATCTTCAGATATGTGAATAATAGTGATGCAGAAAAATGGCAGTGATAGAAGGATGAAGACCTTGAAATTTGTGGGTTTTTCTTTGAAATCCAATTGAAGAAGCTGTTATTGAGTACTGAAGGGTAGGAAAATGGATAATGCAATTAAACAGGGGACTACTAGAAATCTGTATTGTTTAAAAAATAATTTTTAAGAAGCCTTAAACTAAGAGTTCAGTGTCTGCAATATGATTATTTTTAAGTACATTCATTTGGGTGTACTCTTGTAGTTAAGCATTCATGTAGTGTAGCACTTGAATATCTTGGTGGGCTTTCTCACACTGAAAACATTCCTTGTGTTTACAGTAAGTTGAGAAGCTGTATTTCTGTTTAAAACATAATGAAAAGAAGCAGCATTAGTAATACAATTTGGGGTAAGACATATTGTGTAGGGAGTTCAAGAGAATCCCCTTGGCTGAAGAGATTTCAACAAAGCTGTGTTCCCAATCTAAAGGTCGGACCTGGGAAATCCAGGATTTGGTCATGCTGATAATTTGCCAGTAATGTGCTGGTGATTAATTTTCAAGTTAGTGTAGTTTTAACATTTCTGTTGCATTGCTGCATCAAGATAGTGTAATCATAGAACTGTTATAGTAGGAGTCCTAGTAAAATCTATGTATTGTATAAGTGGCCTTGCCCCAATCCTAGTTGTTTTAAATGGGCTGCAGCTGTGGTGTCCTTAATTGGGTGGCAGCTGTGGCTAGTGAAGGTAACTGGGATAAAAGGGGGTGGGCTGGCTGGTCAGGGAGAGCCTTGGAGGAGCCCTGGTGAAGAAGCAGGAGCATCACTGCTGTGAAGAGCTGTGTGTGAGGAAACCACCCAGAAGGTATGGGACTCTAGGAATATTATAATAACAATATTAATACAACAAACTGTAGCTTGAGAACACCTTTGCTGTGTGCCTCTGCTTAGGGAAGCAGTGCAATACTGAGCTTTGGTTACAGCAGGAGCTGTTATTATCAAATAAGTGCTCTTTTTTTTTGGTACCAGCCATGTAATGGGTGAATTTTTCTCTTGCTTTTGAAAGGGAAGGACAATCTTACTTGCTTTTTTTATTCTTTGAGGTAATACTCTCTCTTCAGAGCCTCTAGTTTTGTTCCATGGAACCTTGTTGGTTCCATGGAGCCTCATGTCAACATTGCATCCAGTTTCTTTTTCTACCTCTGGCAGCCCCTTGCAGTTATGAGTCTTCTGGCTTAGTGAAGCAATTGTTAAGAGGTTAATGCAGCTGAAATGTCTGGAGCACCAAATGGCTCTGCTGTCATGGGGCTTGCAGCATTCCCAGGAGGTGCAGAACTCCAGGCACAACAAGGTCTGATGAGAGTTAGCAGAGCTTTGGTGGCTGTAAATCAGAGACCTTGTTGCTCACTTCCTAAGTATAGCATCTGTGGCACTGCAGAATCTTTCTGAAGCTGAGCACACAATAGTAAAAATTTATATTTAACACACTCATAAGTAGAGTTTGCTCAGAGTGGGCGGTGCATTAGACACAAGATCATGGTAGAATTTGGCTTGAGCTGTCTCATGAAGCCTTACATGAAGCATCAATGAGCAAAAGCACAAAATTGTTGAATCTCATTGAGGCTATATGGGTCCTTTAAGAGTCTACCTCAGAAGTCTGGGAGGAAATGAACTGGCTGTACTCAGGATCCTGACAAGTAAAATGATTCTTTGCACTTCAACCCAAGTATCTTTAAGAGAAACTGAAAATTTTGCTGAGAAAAACTCCGGATATAACCAGGTGCTCTGTCCTATTGGAAAAAATGTAAAAAACTTGTAAGTTATTGGGGGTGACAGGTAGTCAGAGGATCTTCTGTTGCTGTTTTGGGTTTTTTACCTAATCTGAGGGATTTTTTTCCATAATCTGAGCTGCCAGATTCTTTGATGTGGTGAAGGAGATAGTTTGTGAAAGAAGTTACTGTCTGAGATTGCACAAATAATTTTCAAAGATATAAAAAATACTGTCCTTACTAGCCATATATGTGGGTAAAAAAACCTACTGATTTTAGGGTGGTATGAGGAAGAAGGTCCTCCTGAGGCTTTTAAGGTTTTCTTAATCTAATCAAACCCAAAAAAGCAATCCTCTGTTCATATTCATGATCATCATGGCCCATAGTAGTATCTGCCTAAAAATGAGCACTCATTGATTGCAACAGAGCAGAAGCCAAGTAAATGCAACCAAAATATCTGGTCTTCACCTACCAGATGTAAAATGTGATGCCTTTTAGGACAATCTCAATGAGTTCACTTCTGTCTCTTCTGGCTTTTGTTTCTGCTCTCAAAATCATTAACTCTCAGATGAACAGTCAGATGTTTTAGAATAGTGGTTCCAATGTAGGACTCTACAGAATATTTGTCTAAACAGTTAAGAAAGCAGTATATTGTCATTGGGTTTAAATTAGCTGTGCAGATGTTTCTGACTGCTGAAAAATACCAAGCCTACAAATCAAGGAGGGGAAGATTTGAACATGATTGGTTTGTGAGTTGTGGGGTCTTGTTTTTAGGTTAAGGTTATTTCTTCACAGACAAAACCAGTCTGGGCCTGTGTTTTTGATTCTGTATTTCAGAAAGGTTGCTCAGGATAAACATGTTTGAATTCAATATCTTGAGGAAATAAGAGCTTTGGGTAAATTCAGAGCACTGATCATGATGTTGCCATGTTTTTTTCCCCCTTTTTTTATAGTAATATGGATGAAACTTGGTAAGATTTGTGCTTGTTTGTTAAAAAGGCAGTTCTAAAGATCCCTTATTGTAGAGAAGCCTATGTACTTTAAAAGTGCAGATTCTAAGATATATACATTATAACTTGTCTCAATATCTGTCCACTCTTGTGGTAGAAAGTTTTTTCTTCCACCTAGTGCTGCCAAATTAGTGCTGCCTCATCTTGTTTGAAGAAAGGAATCGTACGGACAATTAAAGAAAATTCAAAATATTACCAAGTAAAATCTCAGAAGAACAAAGCCTAGATATCATGTTTTAGCTGGCACTCCCTTACAATATTGTCTGTGTCTTAGAATTGTTTCAGCTCATCTGCTTGTCTGCCTTAAGGATCAGGATAAACTAACTATTCATTTAAAATACCTCTGGTTTCTGTTCCTGATATTTCTCTGTATTTTCTAGGCACCGAAGGTCCCTTCACTTTTTTCTTAGTTCAAGTGAAATGATCCCTTTTGATATTTTTGTAGCAGACCCCAGACTGCTCAATGTATTTAAAATGACTAGATGTTACTGTTAATTGAGAGTGTTTGGAGTGGCTTCTGGGAGTATAGCTCTAAGTTGAAGAGTCTTCCTTAGCAGTCAGTTTTGGTCTGCTTTGGAGTGAAAGGTGTTAGAGGGGAGGTTACCAGGTACAAGCACTTGTTCAGCAGTAAGTTTTTGCCATGTGTTAGCTCAATGTCTATAACCTCAGAGTGCATTTTGTAGACCAACAAGAAGCAATGCAAAATATTGACTTTTTTATGGTAAGGTATTTTTAGGGATGCATATTTACTTCAAATGTATTAAATAAATCATTGTTAATTTCAGAGTTAAATTACTTGAGATATAATCAAAATTTTACCACTTTCCCAACATTGCTGCATTACTTCTTGTGAGTCTTACTGTGTAAGCATGTTGCAAGCATCTGTTCTGTTGAGGTTAAAGTTAGCAGCATATTGGTTTTTTTAATATTTTTTGTTCTCCTGTTTTGCAGAATGATTGATTGGCTGTCCTGGCCTCTGGCTCAGCACGTGGAAACGTGGGTGATTGCTCTGCTGAAAGGATTGGCTGCAGTCCAGAAATTTACCATCCTCATTGATGTCACCCTGCTTAAGATCGAATTGGTATGTTGGAAAAAAGCATTCAAAAAAGGGAGAGGGAAAGGAATTGCTACCAGCTATGCAGTTGTGTAGCATCCTTTTTATTGTAACATACAGTATCTTCTTATTCTGCAAATATGATGTAAATGCATTTATGGCTGTCACTTGCATGTAATGATTTTGTCTATTTCAAAATAGCTGTGTGTTTGAAGATTTTTTTGTGTTAACTGAAATTTTACTTTGCAGATTCACTGAAATAAATGTGGGTTTTTTTAGGTCTTTAATCGACTTTGGTTTCCTCTAGTAAGGCCTGGTGCCCTTGCTGTCCTTTCCCACATGTTACTTAGTTTCCAGCATTCTCCAGAAGCTTTTCATTTGGTGAGTTACTATATAATTGTTTTTTAGTGCTTTGAAATGTCACTCAGTGTGTAGTTTCTGAAATGGGTGTAAAGAGCAACAGAATTGATGTGCTTGGGTTTTGTCTGTTGGAAGGTTGTAGAATCGGTTCCTGTGGTTATAGGAAGGCTTTTTAGATTCCAGATTCAACCACTTAATCTATAACTGGAAACAAGCATTGTCCTTCCTTGTATGTACCTATTTCTGATGGGAGTATGTGGGCATCACATTTTAACTGCATGCTTCTGGAAATCCATTTTATGTGTGTGAAATTTGCTGATAAAGTTGGACGGCAAGTAGGTTTTTGAGGACAGCTGTTTGGGGAAAACAGGTAACAGAGATAATCTGCTCTGTGTAACCTGGTCACCCTGAACAGGCTCATGAGACCCAGAAGTACTTGACTTCCAGAAAGCTGTGCAGTCTGTGTCAGTGTTCATGGGCAAATTAAAGGTCATCATTTTTAATGACCCCTTTTCAAAATGCATTCCATTAGTTAAGGCCATGGATAGGGTGTGAGAGTGACTGTGTTAATACAGCAACGTGTTCCCACACTTGGCATTAAGCTTAAAGCTTAGGAGAACATCTGAGATTCAATAGTAACAGCCTGGCACATTGTCTCTGTAACTGTTTCCAAGGCTCTGAAGGGGCATAAAGCCCTTTGTTTCATGTCAGAGTCATTGCCTTATGCCCTTTACGTTGGCTTTTACTGAAAGATCTCCGAAGTTTCTTCAGTGCCCTGATCTTGTCCTAGGATAGAAATTTGAGTTACAATTAAAAGCTCTGAATATGTTCAAAGCATAAATATTTCATATGTTTTTCTTTTTTCCTGACAGAGACAAAACATTAGACAAAATGTAATATATCAGCCTATTCTAGTAAGAGGGATTTGATTTACCAAAGAAAATTTATATTGGAGACTTCACGCTGTCTTGCCTAAATATTTCCCTGCAAGATTTCATGACCATTTTAAACCATTTTCTTCACTATCATTTATTTGTGCTACTACCATTTAGTATTCTGTATTATCTTCCTTCACTTTAAGTACTTGTTTACTTTTTTAGTAACAAATGGTCTGATTATGAAAGTGTCAAATGCACATTTGATAAATAGACATTAATTTACTTGGTAATGCATCTGAAATTACATTCCGTCTCCTTACACTTGAGCGTCATTAATGTAAATTATTTTGAAATTTTTGTAGCAGAAGCAGTCTTGTACTTATAATGTATGATGTAGAACTTATGATCATCAAAAATCTACTGATATATAAAAGTTTAATGCAACCTTGAGCCGGAAGAGATAATTCTGTGTATTCAAAGCGTAACTTGCAGTATTATCCAGCCTGCAGAATTTTACTCTCTTTGGCAGAACTGAGAACCTACCCTTTTTCTCTTCTTCCCATGTGCTTTGTCTGTTCAAAATTATCGTATCTCAGATACAAATCTGTATTTTGCACCTAGCCTTTTTTACTTTGGTGTTTTGAACTATATCAGTTCTTGTAATTGCTATGCCTTCCTCAGATTCCTATCTTCGTATGATTCCCCCTCTGTATTTTATGGTTTTAGCTTAATAATTGTTTGGAAGTAATTAATGATGAGAAATTATTCTCATTATTATCAGCTTCTTTCACAGTTAATCAATCTTAATCGCTTGGAGACTGGCAAAGGTGTCTGCTTTGAAGTAAACTTCTACTTGATGTCTTAAGGCTAATGTCTTGCACATTTAAAAGTAGAGAGCTGTGCTGAAGAAGAGGAAGGAGATGAAGTCAACATTTCTGATTCCAGTCTGGCCAGTTTAAAGTATTCCTGAATCTGAACTAAGTCTCAGATAGATTACTATAGCTGTGGTAAACTTTCAGCTCGTAGTAAATGACATGGTTGTGGTTTATGGAGCTGAGCTGCCTCACTAGGTGGAGCTATGGGCCAGTTTCCTTCTTGTAGGAATAGCAGGAATTTATTCATTGGCTCCTGAGTCCAAGCATTAGATTCTGTTAAAGGAAAACTTAGAGGTTTGTTTTAAAGACTCTATCTGTGAAATCAGAACAAGATACAAACTGTTAGTGGTGGCACAAAAGCAAAATGTTTGCAGTTAATATCCTTAATAAGATGAGTACTTTTGGACACTTGACTGTTTAAAACCTTGGCATGCACCCTTTTAAGTTCATAAAGTTCCTTTTAAAATTTGCTATGTGAGCTAAAGTAAGCATTGAATAATTAATTGCGCTGCTTGAAAATTGTAATGTATTCAGAGTAATGTATGTTTTTCAAGTCATTGTTTCTCAACCACTTATTTAATAACAAAAATCTCCTGTCATTTGGCATGTATAAACCAATGAAGTTCAATTAAGTATTTTGTTGAAGAAAAAAGAGAAAATGGAGTTAACACCTTTTTGCTTGTTTCTTTGTTTTGCCATTTAGATTGTCCCACATGTGGTCAGTTTGGTTCACTCCTTCAAGAGAGATGGCTTGCCTTCCAGTACAGCCTTTTTGATGCAGTTGACAGAGTTGATACACTGTATGATGTATCATTATTCAGGTTTTCCAGAGCTCTATGAACCCATTCTGGAAGCTATTAAGGTACAATAGGAATGTTAAGAGCATGGAATGGTTTTTGTTTTCCCAGATGTGAAGCTGTAGTTCCACAGATCCAAATTCGTTAGCACTTCCACATAGAGAAAAGAGCTAACCACATAATCTCATGTCACTCTTGTGTTTGAAATATAAAATGAGTATAAAGCTTTGAAGAAGGTGGTTGGGGGAGGGAAGGGAACAAGGGAGGGCAGTCTGTTGTATCTCCTCAGCTATCAGGGGCCAGCAGCAAGACCTTGAAGGAGAACTGGGGAGCAGGGGGAGATACCATACTGCTCAATGGCAACAAACAAACAGAAACAAATAAACAAACCTATTAAGCGTGTTAAATGCTTCTCTTGTAGGACATGCCCAAACCCACTGAAGAGAAGATTAAGTTGATCCTCAGTCAGAGTGCCTGGACTTCTCAATCCAGTTCTTTGCCATCTTGTTTATCTAGACTTTCTGGAAAATCTGAAACTGGGAAGACAGGCCTAATAAATCTAGGAAATACTTGCTACATGAACAGTGTTATTCAGGCACTTTTTATGGCTACAGAGTAAGTGCTTCTTAACAGCTTTTTTCATTGCAAATAATTCTTGCAGTTACTGCATTCTTGATTTTCACAGAGTAGTAACTTGTCCTGGGGTCTCTTACCTTGCTATAGCTGAGTGGGTTGTTTTGCACTCAGTTACTGGTTGCTTTGTTCAAGTTCAGCTCTGGAAACTGCAATTTTAGCCACTAAAAATCCTGATCCTTCTATCCAGTGTCAAAAGAGAAGTCCTTTTTCCCTCACTGTCCTTGCTCACTGCTGTATTGTAAAACTTTTTGGTGATGCTTTTGTTATACTCTGAAAGGGTATTAAAAAAAGTCTGTCTGTATCCCATTCCTACACATTTAAATGTTTAAAGACATGGGTATTTTGCAGTGTTAATTCTTACCATACAGTAATTTTATATCTGCACTAGAGCAGAGTTCCAGTATTAAAGGAAGTGTTATGTGCTTTGCTTTCTTTCAATTTGAAGTAATTATCTGAGCTGGAATGATAACTGAATTGTTAGAAGTCTAGCTAGGAAAGTCTTTCATTTGTCTCTCTCTTTCAGTTTCAGAAGACATGTTTTATCTCTGAATCTAAATGGCTGTAATTCCCTAATGAGAAAATTACAGCATCTTTTTGCATTTTTGGCCCATACCCAGGTATGTCAGTTTTTCATCTGTTTTTCTTTAAGCTTAGATCTATGTACCAAAATTGAGAAAGAAACATGATGCCATGGGAATCCTCTTGAGTATTTCAAGTATAAATATTACATTTTTGTATGAGAATCAGTCTGCCTTCAAATGCTCAGATGGTGTGGATGGATTTAGAAATACACATGTCTCTAGGTGGAATATGTTGGAGTTTTGTTGTTTCTATTTATAGGTAGTGATAGGTTTTCTTTGAGGAGAAAGAATGAAAAAATCCAAATATGACCTCAGTTGATATACAAGCTGATTTTATGTATCTTTCTAGGGTAAACTGTGACCTTCATTGATTTTTACACTGAATTTGATTGTAGTTCAAATTCTAATGTGAACATTATTAGCTGTTCAAAACATTTTGCTAATGCTGGAAAGGCACAAGACAGCTTCAAAATAAATGGGTCCTTATGAAGTGCTGGTGTTCTGAAGAAAGCAAACAGGTTTTTTTTTAACTCACCAGCAAGAAAGGTAGCTGCTATAATACCTTGCTTGTAATCACTAAACATGAATATTTGCTGGCAGGATAAACTATTTGTATCTTTGTACTAGAGGTGATTGCCAAAATTAATGGCTCTCCCTTCGTATGATTAAGTTGTTTAAATTTTTGTGTACCTTGTGTTTCATTCAGCTACTCTGTGATAATGTAGTCCATAGTTCTGCTGTTAATATTAAAATAATAGAATCAACTGAAGTTATTATATTACAACTATGTAACCTTGTCTGTTCTGTCACTTGAACAGAGGGAGGCCTATGCTCCTAGAATTTTCTTTGAAGCCTCCAGACCACCGTGGTTCACTCCTCGGTCCCAGCAGGATTGTTCAGAATATCTCAGATTCCTGCTAGACAGGTACGGTTCTGGTGCCATCGATGGGAATGAATCTGCAGCTTAACCATTTAATGTTGAGCTCCTAGGAGCAGTCGTGTAACAGTTCCAGTGCATGAGTGGGGGTCAGGAATTTTCAACCTCATTCCTCTCTATAGTCTACAAACTACTTTTCTTCATGGGTTTAGTCTGTAGTGAACTCTGGATGCCATATTGAATCCAGATAATTGAGAACATGTTATGGTGGTAACAATGTGCCACTTTTATAAATCTAAACATGGGTGTTATGTTTAAGTCGTGGTCCTGTTGTTAAATTAATAGCAGTTGGTGAAAGCAGTTTAGTTGTGCTTCTGGAATTTCATGTTGTTGGAGACAGCTGTTTTTCATACAAGGTGTACAAGTCACAAAGAGATGTACATGTCTTTATAACCAGTTAATTAAGCAAGCAAATTAGCTGTGGCAGAGATAAATCAGTAATACCTACATTTGTTAATAATGCTCTTTATTTTTGGCTTGCTAAAGAGGACTTAAGCAGTATTACTTTAAGACACATTCTGCTCTTGGAGAAATTTCTCTCAATAGTGAAATAGTGTTCTCTCTTTTTTTATGTCCATGTTTTGGGTTCCTCTTTCAGTTTGGATTTTCTTGCCACAGAACTTTCTTGGCTGCAGAATTCTGACATTTTCTTTGGAAATAGTCTGGCCATAAACAAATAGTTACTTTTTCTCTTACCAAGTCTGACATACAGGCCCAATCAACTCGGGAGCTGATTTATTAACACAATGTAATGGTAAATAATAAAAACATTGTTAGGTTTCTTTAATATTTGCCGGTTTTTTCAATAAATCTATTGTGTTCTATTATATATAATGAGACCCACAATAAATGTATATGTGCCACTTGTATTCTAGTTTGGAACTCTATGCTTCAGCTTCCTTATATAAAAAACCAGATTTTTTTTAGTGTAAGATACTTTAGCAACTTAACCATCTGTAGTTTTTAGCTGGAAAAAAATCTGAAATAGTGTGGCAGTATTTGGAATATAGCACAGTTACTTGGATTTATCTTTTTGTTTTCAGGTTGCATGAAGAGGAGAGAACTTTGAAAGCATTGTCTTCAGCAAAGAGTTCTGAAAGTATTATGACTGACAAGTCCCAGGCACAAGAAACTGCCCATAAAACATTTACTGAAGCACCTTGTATGGAAAGTGAAGAAAGAACTCTAATAGAGAAGATGTTTGGAGGAAAATTGAAGACTAACATATGCTGTTTGAACTGCAAAAGTACATCTCAAAAGGAAGAAGCTTTCACAGATCTCTCTTTGGCTTTCTGTCCCCCAGCTTCCTTAGAGAATGCTGACCCAAAGTGCATAGAACATTCTGAAGTGAAAGATGACTACATGGTGCAAAGTAATGCTTCAGCTACCAGTCCTGATGCAGAAACACCTCTTAGTAATTTGGAAGTAAATCGTGGATGTGACACAATAATGAATGAAGGAACCATAGATTTTTCTACTGAGCCAAGCTCTGAGAATACCACAATTTCTGAACTCAAAGTTGAAAATAATGGGGATATGTCTCAGAGTCTAGTAGGTAAAAATACCCTGTCAGTTACAGACTTGCTCAATTATTTTCTGGCACCTGAAATCCTTAGTGGAGACAACAAATATTATTGTGAAAAGTGTGCCTCTTTACAGAATGCTGAAAAAACTATGCAAATCATTGAGGAACCTGAATACCTCATTCTCACTCTTTTGAGATTTTCATATGATCCAAAATGTCACATAAGGCGCAAAATCTTGGATAATGTTTCTCTACCACTTGTATTGGAACTGCCAGTGAAAAGAGCAACATCTCCTTTAGCTGTTGTTTCAGGAGGCTGGTCTGTTGGTGTGGAGATTTCTGACACTGGAGAAAACCTTGCTAAAAAACTGAAGCCCTCTGGTGCTGATGAAGTGACCTGCCCACAACTGGTGCCCTATGTGTTGAGCTCTGTGGTGGTGCATTCTGGGGTATCCTCTGAAAGTGGACATTATTATTCATATGCTAGAAATGTTACTGGATCAGGACCTTCAGGGCTCTGCCACCAGTCTACAGCTCTTTCTTTAGTTGCTCCTCAGGATAAGTTGTTTACAGAGGAGAGTCCTTGTACTGTTGTAGAGAATGAGCTGGACACTGAGATGCCAAGAGAATGGTTTCTGTTCAATGACAGCAGAGTGACATTTACCTCATTTCAGTCAGTCCAGAAAATCACCAGTAGATTTCCAAAGGACACTGCTTATGTTCTGTTTTACAAAAAGCAGAACAGCACCTGTGGCTTAAACACCAATCCAGCAAATGGCCTGTGGGTAAATGGAGACCCTCCTCTACAAAAAGACCTCATGGATGCTATTACAAAAGATAACAAACTGTACTTGCAGGTAAGATGGAAATTTTGTGTAAAGGGTGTCTCCTTAAGCCTCACAAGAGGCAGTCTACAGGAAAGAACACAGTAGATTTTAAGTATTCTATCCTATTAACCATGAATCACCAGTCTGGCTTCATCTTGGTGTTGCTGGACAGGTTTTGTAGTAAGGTTGTCACTGTTAGATGGGGAATTTCAAGGAAAATGGCACAAACTCAGTTCAGTTTAAAGTTTGAGTGGAGATGCTTGTATAGGTCATTTAACCACTTGCCATTCCATATGGGAGAGGCTTCAAACAGTTCAAACTTTCATTGCCTTTATGGAATTACAAGAGTGGCTTAAGTTTACTTAAAAACTTCTAAGTGGTGTTCTTACTTGTGCATTTTCATTTGTAGTGAAGTTTGGCTTCTAAAACTGTGCTTACTGAGATGCTGGAACAACTGAAATGATGTCCAGGTGTGGGTGACTGGATTCCATTTTCCCTTTGCTGCCTCTGCCCTGTTCTCTGTGGGACCAGTGCTTCCAGCAGCACACTCCCTGTGTTCTGAGAACCTCACCTAACTGTGGCAGCCTTTTGGTTTGCTGGTAAAAGAAAACAATGCTCTCCACACTTTGATGTGTCTTTCTTAGAGCATTGCTGTTTTTTTTATGTTCTAGGAGTAAAAGTATGTTTTAAGATGCCATATTTCACTGTTGGTTCAGAGTTCTAAATTAATTTTTCCAGCTAAGTTAAGAATATTCTTCTGTCCTGAGAAAGCCTTTAATTTTCAGAAAATATGTTCAAAAACTTCTGTACCTTACTGCTTTTGTTTTGCTATTGCATATCTGTTTACCACATGGCAAATGAAGATGTTTTCAGTATAAATAACTAAACCTGCAATATGGGTCACTCCCACTCCATTTAAAACAAATTTTACAACCCTTACTGCAAATAAATGGAAAACAAGGGGGGATGCTCTGCATATTCTGAGTCCAGAGTCAACTGTATTGACTATCAAGTTTTACTTACCTATTGTAGTACTTGTGGGGATAAATATAACAACCTGAAAATATTAAATGTTTTAGAAATAAGGTGCTTGTAAAAACACCAGTTGTATAAGGTAACTAGTTTGGTAGTGTAGTTTTTTTTTTAACTAAACAGGTTATTTAGGCAAGGTCTGCTATTTTAATCAAAATCTGTTTGATTTCTGGTACTACAAGTTTTAAATATTACCTTGTTATTCCTAGTAAACATACATAGTTTTTGGTGTGTCATAGAGTTAGCCAGATGCTTAGGACTCCACATATTGCTGGAGATAGCATAATACTGTCTTCAGGAGTATGGCCAGCCCAACTGTGTAGGCAGTGTCCTCCAAATATCTTAATTTTTAAAATGAGTATACATTTCAGTCCTTAGTAGCGTACAATAGTTTCAAACTTAGGCTGTGTTTTTGACGAGGGCAGAATAATTTAAATTCACAAGGTCTACTTTTAGCACCTGTGAAAGTATTTGGACAAGACTTCAGTTTAGTGGTTTCACGGTAGTATAATACAGTCAGGGAGAATTGAAGGGTGACCCCTGTAGCTACTGCAACCCTGTTCTAAAGTTTGCTCTCATTGCCTTTAGGGAGGTGTGTGGTGATGAAGTGTCATGTGAAGGCAGCAATCAGTATGAGCCTTAGCACTGGAATGCTTTCAGTTTGTTGCCAGGTGCACTGTCTTTAGCCTTCAAGAGCCAACATCTGCCTTCTCTCCCTCAATTTTTGAAGCTCTTGGCCAAGCTGAGAAAGGTATACTAAAGATAGAAAATTGCTGCAGAGTTCATTGATGAACTAGTTGGCCAGAGACAAAATAGTGCATGACACATCTAATGAAGGAAAAGCATGTGGCTCATCCCTTTGTTAGATGTCTTAAGAAGCCTCAGGAGCATTCAGCTGAAAAAGCAGCTGGCAGGCAGCAGAGCTTTCGTGTTCTTTCACTTGTGCAGGTACATTTTCCAGCAGTTGACTCTGATTTTTATCAAGTGCTTGAGAGTTGCAGAGACTTGCTATGTTATAACAGTTAGCATAGCAATAATAATTGAAAGCTTAAAAGCTGCAATGAATAGAAACTAGATAAAAGGCCAAAGGATGGACAAGCTATCTGAGTATATTGCTATCCTATGCAGTTGATGGAGTGGAATGAGGAAGTGTCTTTAATGAACATTGATATAAAGGTTTTACCTTTTGACTTTGCAACCAACAAGAAGAGCATATGAAACTTGATAGGATGAAAATTTATATTAAACATATATCAAAAGCTGTTTTGTTAACTTCTCATCAGCAGTCTCATTTTTAGCCATGTCCCACATTGCTACAATACAATTTTAGCATGAACTCAGATGGATTTTGTTTCGTTTATGCATGCTACAATCAGTGAAGTTGTACATTCTAGGCTGGCTGGGGATGATCACCTTGAAAGTTCGGCTTAGCTGTTCACTAGAAATTAGTGATGCTGCTTTGAAAGCCACTTTAAGGGTGTGAGATTGTGGGTTGGGTTTTTTTAATTGTCTTTATTCTCTCATTTCAGGAGCAAGAGCTCAGTGCTCGAACACAAGCACTGCAAGCTGCCTCGGCCTCTTGCTCGTTCCGGCCCAATGGATTTGATGACAATGATCCCCCGGGAAGCTGTGGGCCCACAGGTGGAGGAGGAGGGGGTGGGTTCAGCACCGTTGGTAGATTGGTCTTTTGACTGTGAAGACAACCTGGAATACACTGGTTTCAAAGCAGCCCAGTACTGCTGAGGACAAATAAAATACCGAACTCTGCCTAAGTTGTATCAGGCTTTGAGACTTGGTCCTTGTCCAAAAGCAAATAGTAGTAGGTTTTTGGTTGTGTTTTATTTGAAATAAATAAGCGCATAATTGAAAGAAACCTACCTCTTAAATTTCAGTTGCTTTCATATTAAGGTATGCTTGCCCAGAAACCAGAAAATTAAGAAATTTTTTTAAGTAAATGGTGATGATGTTGCATTAAACTGAACAAAAATGTACTTATGTCAGTTTCTCTTGTCCTCATCCACTGAATGAAGAAAGTTCATTTTTTACTCTGATAGTATTGCTTTATGTGGAAAGCCATTTTCAGATGGGCTAAACTGCATCTGCACTCTCTCACCCACTGCTTATTTTCAAATACAATACCTGTGTGGGTTTTCAGATATGATGCAATTTGTACTGAAGGCAATAACTTAAATGTGACATGATACAGTACTTTCCAGGTTAAAAATTATTCAGTCCATTTCCAGTGTAAATGAAAAGAAAAAAATTATACATATTTGCTAACTTGTTATCCAAAAAAGTGCATGTTGTGTAGGAGCAATGTTTTTAAATAGAAATTGTTAACTCAGTAGCATTTCTAATTGTTTTGAGGATTTTAAAATTATTTCAGGGAATATATCTGCCCAGTATTGGAAAGGAAGAGATTCTGTATGTGCCTTGCAGTACTGTGACTTAAACTCTCTGAGGCTGCAGAGGATGAGAAAATGTCTTAGTAGTCTTCTTTTTTTTTTTTTTTTGTCAGCATTAGAAATCAAGACATTTATAGAAGGCTTTTAGGTTTCCAGAAGTTAAAATTTTTTAGCTTGAAATGCAGTAAGTATTGCCCTTTATTTTTTGATTTAAAAATATACATACCGACTGATCTATAACTTTCATGGCCTGTATTGCTGAGAAAAAACTGGTCATAAAGATGGAGCTATGTTCATGAAATCACAGAAAATCTGCCTCTCTTGGTCTTTGCTGAGGATCTTTGCTTAGAGTCTTTTGAAGCTTTGCCTTTGGCTTTTGCTGGTAGTGAGAACTTTCTGGTGAGTTCAGGACTTTCTTTTTTTTAGTCTGCAGAAGCCCACAATTATTCTGCCTAAGGAGCACTGTTTGATTGCTCATTAGGCAAGCAGAGGCTGAGGATCCACTCCTTTGAATCTTGACAGAAATAGCAACTTTGATTTTTGATGTGCAATGAGGATAACAGAAGTAAAGGACTTAGACTGTTGAACCCAGTGATTAATTCTTGAGTAATCTTAGAGTGAAGTGTAAACTTATGTAGAGTATTTTTACAAAATTCTACACTGTTTTTGCTGTGTTTTTATATTCTATTAGGTGACAAAGTGTGTCCTTAAAAAGCATGCAGACCTGGCAGGTTTTAGCATAACTGTATAAAAATAAGCAAATTTCTTAAAAATGCTTTAAAAAAAGCGTAAGATATGTTGAGAGAATTAAGTCTTGTTCATATGATATTAAATATGAAGTTTAGTCTGAAAGGTAATTTAGCTCGCAAGTTATTTTTATATTATCACTAAAACTATGCGATTTACTATAGGTTTAGATGTTATACTTAAGAAAGGTAGAGCAGCTGACTTTTGATATTTTATTTTTATTTTTAATACTTTGCAAGCTTTCTTGTAACAGTTTGTGATACCTTGGCTTTGGCCTACTCTTTTTCATTGCTATCTCAGTGGTAGGTCTCTGAACCAGGGGTTCAGCCACAGAAACATGGAATGTTTTGAGACCAGCATGAGGAACATTCTCGTTTCATTGCACTTGGATGAGCTTATTTTTGAAAGTTCAGTTTGCTTTGAAATTCTCTAACTTTGTCTTGGAGGGTTTTTTGTTTCCTTTTAGGATTCTCTGCCAGCTTGCTTTGGTTTGAAAATGTTTTATGAGACAGGTTAATTTGGCTTTTCTCTCCCAGACTGAGGACACACTAAAAAGCTGTCTACTCATTGCATTACCTTGGGAATATTTTGTCTCTGTATCTATTTACTGCTCATTTTAAACTACTAGAAAGTAGAAGCAGGGGTGAGTGGTTTTACTCTGTATGAAATCATAATATTAAGGTCAGTTTTGTTTTTATGTTCTCACAGTAAAAATACAAATTATGCAGCCTACCTAAAAATAATATGCAGTATGTCTTTTGTACACCTGTTGAACTATATTTCATGAGTTCTTAGAAGGCTTTCTACACCCTTTTTGCCTATTCTGAATAAGGGGTTAAATATAGAAAATTGAAATGAGAATAATGCAAATCAGGTTGGATCTGCTTAGGTGCAAAATGATGGATGTCTGAAATTGAAAATAACTTCCTTCTTTCACCTTGACTTCTGTCAATGCATTTGCTAGGGGTTTTTAAAGTAAATTTTATAATTCAGGCTACCTTTTTGTAAGTCTGTCTGCTTGCTGACATGACAGCTGTCCTAGGCTGATGAGTCAGATACCCATCTTGGAAGGTTTCAGTAAACCTAGTGGAAGTGAAGAATTATTTCATGCTTTGAAATGTGCACCCTTATTATTGCTTACAGTTATGGTGTTGCATGCCACTGTCTTCTGGACATGAGAGTAAAATGTAGATATGGTAGTTTGATTTCTGTTGCTTGTGAATGAATGCTGGATGGTTTCTTTATTTACCTTTTTGGCTCAATTCTTAATGACTTTATTCAGTTGAATCAATAGAAAGATACAAAAATGCATAAGACCGTTTCAGAAGCTTTAGGGTTTTTGTTGTTTACTTTCATGAAAGAGACACAGCTGTACCACTCAAAGGTGGTATGTCTTAAAATCATATTTGCTTCTACCAGGACAGACTGTGATTTGGTCGTTGTTTTAATGGTCACTGGAGTTGTATTAACTTTCTGTTGTGCTGTTAATTTTTTACGGTTTTTTAATGTGGAGCATCACAGTTTTTTTATGTGGATTACTGTGAACAGTCTCCCCTGTAACAAGTGATGGCATTGTCTATGAGCCCATTTATCCAGGATGAGAAGAAGCTTCTTTGAATAACTGAACAAATCATACTTTCTGGCTAGACTTTTCTTTTTTTTTTTTTTTTTTTCCCTGTGTTTCCTTCTTTGGAAAGTTAAATATTTTATGTTCTCTATGCTCTGGAAGTTTAATTTGGGTAAACCTTAATTTCTATTTTGTTAATCTGTAGCAATAAGTTTGTTCATTGAGTCAGAACACTTTTTTGTACAAGTGACAGGCAAAGGGCAAAAACTCTGGGAGGTGAGTGTTGAAACAAAATCAAGTGGGTATAAACTTTCTGTAAATAAAATTTAGGTTAGAAACAAAGTTCCTAGTTCTGGAACAGCCTTCTGGGAAGAGCCTTGCTTCGAAGGAAGAGCAAACTATGTGTATGAAAGAAATTAAATGCAAAGTGGTATCTGAATAGTAGGCAGCTAGACCTGATAAACCAGAGGTCCCTTCCAGTCCCTTCCTAGAGTTTTGCTCTTTTGTTGGGTTTCCTGTCTTGCCTCATTACCACTTTTGTTTATAAAGCTTAAACATTTGAGGGTAAATAAATAGAATATTAAGTGGTGACATAACAACAAAAGTTAACTGCTGAATTTGGGGTGGTGTTGGTCTCTGATATAGGGGAATGAAGCATAGCAATTACTAAATCATGGCGAGTGGAAGCTTGGAGTTGTGATCAAGAAATGTGCTCAGTTTCTAACACAAGGGTGATTTCCCTGGGTAACAACCTGCAGTGTAATGTAATGAGTTGGAGCACTTGGTATCTTCAGTAGGCTGTAATTAAATGGAAATTATTGGACATTTTCAAAGGGTGAGCAAATGATCTATGATATAAATGAGATTGTCTATTCCAATCTTGAAGGCTTTAATGTTCTGTGCAGCCAGTCATCATAGGTCTACCTAAATCTGAATTCAGAGCTATGAGTAATATGTTGTTAAAACACTGGACCCCACACCACTGTGAGACAGAGAACTGAGAATTGTGTGGTGCTGGCTGGGTTGTGTCTGACACAAGCTCTGCCTGTGGGTTGTAGTGGAGCACTGCCTCACCACACAAGCTTTTGTGTTACAGTGCACACACACAACTCACTGGGAATCTGCTTTTGCTTGTATTAAAGCATCCAAATCAAAGGCACAACAACCAAAACTACCCAGACTGAAGCACGGATTAATGGTTTTTAATACAATATGCACCCTCCTTATTTAAAATGGAATATCTTCTTAATGTGCAAGATTCTAGATAGGAATGTGGATTCAGGATACATGTTTCTTGTTCCTTTTTTTTTTATTTTCCAGTGCAGATAGTATTTTTAGGAATCAGGTGTGGAAGTGCTTAAACAGACATGTCAAAAGAGACGACACAGGAAAGAGGGACAGCGGGTGGTGAAGAAGAGCTGGTACTGAACTGAAATGGGACAAATGCTGAAAGGATAGCATGGCTCTATTCTAATTTAAAAGTTGCACATGTTTTAATTTCACTGCTGTAACTTTATTCCACCAAAGACCACTTTGTCAACAATGCCTTGTGTTATCTGAGCCTGATCCTTTAGAAGTTTCTACTGTATCGTTACATCCATTTATATTTTGAAGAAGAAATATCTCAGTAGGCTTATGGAAAATACGCTGCTGAGGAGCATATTTCAGGTTGACATTAAAAAAATGAATTCAGCAATGGCATATGTGACTGTGCAAGCAGCTGTAGCATCATACAGCATCCTCAAGGCCAGTGGTCTCCAAGCTTTGTGATTGCCATCCATATCACTAAAAACTCTTAGTGTGCACCCTCTACGTATATTTATTAATTTATAAATAATATATGTACTACTATACTAATTTATTATGTACATACATAGGAATAGAAATTAAAAAACTATGAGAGAAAAGTGAAATAAAGACTATTTTTAAATTATTTAAAATTTCATTTGTTAATTTTGCAAAATATACTTTTTTCTTGCACCCAAATGGATTGTCTTGGGTTGCATGCACCTCACTTTGGAGACCACTTTAGGGTAGTCTTGGAAAGAGTTTTAACTTGATGGGAACATCTATCAAAACTGACCAGTTTATAATGACAGTTTCTTTTACTCTGTGAATATAGACCATTGTCCTTAACTTTGTGCTGCATTGTCACAGACATGTTTTATGAAAAAATTCCTTTCCTTAGGATTTTTTCTCCTGAGAAGCTGAGAGGCCTCAGGAATAAAATGTAAACATTGATTATCTGCTTCTGTGGAATGTAATAGGTGCATCTTTGATTGATCTCATGTGGTTGTTTCTAATTATTGGCCAATCACAGTCAGCTGGCTCAGACTCTGAGAGTCACAAGCTTTTGTTATCATTCCATTCTTTTTCCTTTCTTTGCTAGCCTTCTGATGAAATCCTTTCTTCTATTCTTTTAGTATAGTTTTCTTTTAATATAATATATATCATAAAAAAATAAATCAGCCTTCAGAAACATGGAGTGAGATTCTCATCTCTTCCCGTGTTGGGGCTGCCTGCAAACTCCCACACTGCATGACTGTTTTGGATCTCTGTTTATTCAGAGTTCTTACAAAATTTGGTCCAAGGCCTGTGAACTATTTTGCTGTTTGTTTTCCTACAGTGTGCATTAAATTACAAAACAGGAGGTTGTCAGCCTTAAGTGGTTTGGAGAAATGCAGAGTCTTTCCAGTTTGGAAGGGAGGGCATATCCCTTGTCAAACACAGGGATATGTTAATACTTGGCTTTCAAGATTACTACCATTTTTCAACTGACTTGCCCTTTCTCAAATGTTCACTAAAGAGTTGCCATATTTAGTGCTCAGCCTCCCAGAAGAAAGTAATTAATTTTCTTGCTGTGTCTTTCCTGGTGTTTATTTTACTGAACTGCAGTTGAAACCATATTTGCAGTATGCCTGTGCTTGAATCTTGTAAACTGGCATAAATTTTTAATAGTATTTCATATCAGTTTTTAAAAATTGATGGGGCAAAATGACTGTACATGTGTTGGGCTGCATAAGGAAGTCAAAATATGCATCTCAAAAAGTGTCTCAAAGTATGTGGGTTTTCATGTGTTTGACTGGAGAGGCAAGATAGATGTTCTTGTAAAATATAACAGTGGTGATTTGGGGGTTTTTAATTTTTAATATTTTACCTGCAAATCTCAGCTTGAAGGATCTGACACAAAAACCTGGAGAATAAGTCATCTGAGAACTCTTGATGGTCCCGCTGTATCTGAAGAACGAAGTAGCTGGATTTCCTGTGTATTTACAATGCAGTGATACAATTGTTTCATCTGAGTTTTCTTCTCAATTGGTGATACTTCAGTCTTCAAAGAAGAGGAAATTATTCAATTTGTTGAAATAATCAAGGACATCATAGTTGGTTAAAATGCAGCCTTTCTCACTGAACCTGGAAGTTAGGGCACAGAAACATTCAGGCCTCCTGTAAATAAAGACAAGATTCTCAAAAGCTGTTTTCAACTCTTCTGTATTTTTCCTCAAGTTTCCCCAGACTACAAGTTGAAAGAAAGCTTTTGGATTTGGTTGTTTTTCTTGACTACAGGAATACCTGAGAAACTCAAGCAATTAACAGGCCAGTTAATAATCTGTGAAGTGCTACTGGGTGAACTGTGTGACAGGGAAGGGAAAGGTTGGGTTGCCCTTAGAATATGTAGTTTGAAGTTGTCTCCTTGAGTTGGCTGCCCACAGCTCCCTCTGGCATTAGAAACAGCTGCCTTTATGTGGTCTCTAGATTAAGTTTGGTACTGCCTGTGAGGAGAAAATCGTGGGAACTTCCCCTTCATCCAAGTCCTATTCAGGCTAATTGAAGAATTATTCTTGACCTGAACTGTTTCAATTTTGCTTTGATTAAGTAACTTGAATCTGCCGACTGCCAAGGGAATAGACAGATCAAGCTTTAATGTTTTTTTTTTTCCTAAGTGTGTGCATTGGCTCCAGTAGAAGCTACTCTTTGTGTGCTGTGCTTTAAACATCCCAGGTCTACAAGAGGTGTTTCCTGCTGCTGAGACTGTGAAAACAGCAGCTATGGAGAATTCCTTGGGGAAGGAAATTTGCTGCGGTATAAACAAGCAACTAGGTGGATGATATCATCCTTTGGATTGGTCTGCTGTGTTTTGCACTTGGGGATTTGATGTGAAAGAAGCGTGTAAGGAGTGTTTGTTTTTAAAGCAGTTGCAAGTGTTTCTGCAGGAGAAGGATGAGTTCCTGCAGCAGCATCCTAGGCAGCGGCAGTGTTATCTTGCATAGCATCTCCAAGAGTAGTGCTGCTCCCATAGTGTGTTACAGTGGAAGGATGAAAGGACAAAAATGCAGTTAGTCCACTAGACTTCACCCTCTGTTCAGAGATGACAATTTAATTAATTAAATTTCCATTTAATTAAGTGTTGTCATAGATAAAGAGCATTTCCTTTCATTGGGGGTATCAAGAAGCAGAGTATTTCTGCAGCATCTCATTTTCTTGGGAGCAAATCCAGTGTGGAGTTTGTGCATTGTGGTCCATATTTCTGCTGTTGTGATTGCACAGAATGAGCCCCAAGTCAGGAGGCACTTCAAGTGCAAGGTTTTACGTGCTTATTTGACAAGGCTGCTTTTGAGCTCCAGTCACCTCATCTCTAGCTTATTTGGTCCTCTTTGACGCTAAGGATTTGCGGAGTGGGAAAAACCAGGATGAATTTCACGTTCTCCAGCTCATGTTCTGAGAATGGGCATGAATGCTCAGCTTCAGAGAGGATCTGATGAAAAGAAAAGAAGCAGAGCATTTTTAAAAAGGAGAAGCTGGAAAGAAATGTAAGCAAGAGCTTTGGTGCATGTGGGTATGCAAAGCTGTGGATTTCCTACTCTTTTGGGGACCAAAAGCAGTTTGCTTTGTTTAAGCAAAACCATACCATCTTCACATGTCACATATACATAAGGAAAAGATGTGGGACAAAGTATAGCAATCACTTGGTCAAGGTAATTCTGACTGATTTGTGGTTTTATTATTGGAACTATAATAATGCCCAGCCTATCTCTCTACATTTTATTTAAGCAATTTTTTTTACACAAAACTAAATATTTTGGGATTTGTCTTTTTAACTTAATCTCCTTTGGAAATAGCTGTTTAATTTTTTTAAATTGTTTTCTGCCTTACGTATTCTCCCCAGTTTAAGGGATCATGCACAATTTCTTACATAAAGAGGTATGGATGTGGGTAATGACAATTAAACTAATTTGGTGTGATAAATACATTAATTTAGGTTGTAGATCGTCTTGTCCCTGAAACCTCCTTAACCCCAAATTCTTTTTTAGGATGCATATTATCCTTCGATCCCTAGGTCCCAGCAAGACTATTCTCTTTATCCTCCTACTTTAAGTGCCCCATGAAAAACTGAAGTGGTGCAACCAAGAATATGCCTGGCTGAAAGAAACTGTGGTATCACAAATAAGAGAAAATTGTAATTTGGTGAGTTTTCTCAGCAGTTCTGTGCTTAGTAGTAGTTTTGACCTATTTTGCCCTTTACACTTGGGAGCTTTGTTTTATCTTACTCTCCTCTAAACAAATTTGGTGGAAATCATGCTTACAAAATATTTCCTGCTATGGCTTCAGCAGTGTTGTGGTGTTTTTCCTTTTCACATCCACTCTCCCTCCTGCACCTCATTCATGTCCCTTGCTGACTGATGACCTCTCCAGGACACAGATGTATCTTCTACACTGCATTCAGGTAAGCACAGGGCTGCACCTAACACTGTTTCTTGGTTAGCTTCTAAATGCTACTGTGATAAACGTAATTCCCTAATGTATCAAACATAGGGTAGCAAAAATGCAATTAGAAAACCTAAAGAAGGGACTTGTACAGTCTCAGTTCTGCCTTTAAAAATTCAGGCAAGTAGCAGTTAGAGTAAAATGTTTTTTGTGTCTTCCACACTTGTAAGAACTGCTAAGAAATCTGTATGGCCATGTAGAAGGGGGTAGTGTAGGGGTAGGTTTGCTTCAGGTATTTGTAGGGAATTGCAATATTTAGAAGTTCTCACAAAGGGCAGTCACTCCTCATTTTTATGCAACAGTTTGTGGTTGCAGGTGCTCAAACCATTAACAATTCAGTGCCAATTTAGTTATTTTATGTTTGGCTCTGAATAATGTTGAACTCCAGGGCTTGGTGGTTCTCTGCTGGCTGGAGGGAATGGTAAATTACAGCAGTCTTCATTCAGATGGAGCCATGGACACTGGTGGTGATGGGGTGTAACAGAAACTTTAACTTGGTTTTGTTCATGTGGGAGTCAGTGGACTAAGGTCACTAAGTCAGTGAACCACAGTCTGATTGCCAAGTAGAAGCTTGCCCTGTATTAGCAGGGTATGAAGACTGAGGAAGCAAATTGCTGTGACTTCCGAAGACATTACTGCTTTTGAGGGAAGAGGAATTTCTGAAATTGAATTTCACAGTTGTTAGCTATAATTTAATCTGTGCATATGGATATAGTTTGAGAAAAAAGTAAGAAATATTTCTGATTAAAACTGCCCTGACTCAAGTATTCTTGTACAGTCTTGCCTGTATTTTTTTCCTAATTGTCCTGCTCCAGAGATCAGAGTTGCAACTTCCGCTATGTCTTGTTTTCAAGGACTTGTGTACATCCTTTGTTGTATCCTTATGTCAGGTTTTAACTTCCTCTGAGTGGAATAAGATTTTATAAATATATTCCAAGCATTATCATTTAAATGCAAGTAGTTTTTACTCTTAGTTACTGAGGTTCCTGATGTCCAATTTTTTTTTTTGAGTAATTATGTGTTTATCCAGTAGAGAGCACTAATGTAGCTGCTATCTGTTAGTTGACAATCCTATCAAATTATTAGAGGTTTTCTTAAAGTTTTTGCTATGGAGAACTGGGCTGGGCTTAGGAATGTAGAGTTTTTTCCAAGTCACTGTGTGGCTGA